GCCCGGCCCCGCCCGGCACCTGCCCGGGCCCGCGCGCCTCCGCGGCCCCGGAGCCGGGATCTGGAGGGGACTCGGGGGCAGAGTGTGGCGTCAGGGGGACAAACTCCACAAGAAGCCAGGGACTAGGGAAGCTTAAAAAACAGAAACCGCAGGTCACTCGAGTTATATAATTCCTCTGAGCTGCTTGAATCAAACACAAAAGTTGAATTCCACTTTTTTTCACCTGGAATTCCACATCAGCCTCTGGAAGCATTTCTTAGTGTTCTCGCAGTGGTTTTGTGGCTTGAGGGAACAATAGAATGAATCTTAAGTATATTTTCTAGATTCTTGGAGCCCTCTGCATCGATCGGTTAGCTAAGTGTTTCATTTAATCCTGACACCAACTCAGTGAAGTAGATGTGACATCCTCATTTTACAGATGAGGAAACTGAGGCTCGGGAAGGTTAAATTACTTGTCTGTGGTCATGTCCTGTAAGTGGAGAAGGCAGTTTGGTGTACAGAATTGACCTTCCCACTGGCAAGGCTGTGACATCTCTGATCAGGCTGCTGTGCTAAAAAGCTTAGTAAATTATGGTAACTTGGTTGGGTAATGTAGCTGTTGAGGTTAATCTGTTTCACAAGTGATGAAAAGGTGAATTTGTCGTTTTTCTAGGAAGTTGAGAAATAGCTGTCTCATATCATCACACCCTTCTCTCCCCATCCCTTCACCCTAGCCCAAATGCCGGACAGCAGCAGGTAGGAAGATTCTTTACAGACAATAGTTACTTAGTAATTGCTGAATAGAAGCCAAACAGGAAGTTGACATCACTTCATAAAATGAAAACAGATGCTTGAGAATAAGTGATTTATTTGCAAAGGTGGTATTGCTATTCTCAAATCAATTATATCACTGTTTCCTCCAGTGTAGGCCTGCACCGCCTACCTCAGAACCACTTGGGGCACTTGTTAAAATGCAAATTTTTGGTCCTAAGCCCAGACCTCCTGAATCAGGATCTTAAAGGTAGAACGCAAGAATCAGTGTTTAAAAAAATCAGCCTCCAGGAGACACTCTTGAATCCTTACCCCACCGTGGCCTGTTGACCATTGATTCACGTGGGAAGACCTCCGGGTTACTTGGCGTTATAAACTTCCTTTGCAGGAAGTGGAAATGTGGGGGCAAAAGTGCAATGGATGGGTTTCCACTTATTCAAACCATGTAGGCTTAGAAGAGTTGGAGCTCCTTAAGGAAAATAAAGGCTTTACTTGAATGACATCCACCTGGGGAGAAGGAAAATGGAGAGTGGTGCTTGCAGGTCTGAATTGCTCCTTTCCATGCTAGTAGGTGGACCAGGAACTGTGGGGGTCACCATCTTTCACCCAGGAGCCCTCCTGCCACCAGTGACCCTTAAGTGTCCAGGCCAGGCTTCCACATGGCTGTGGTGCTGGGGCCATAGGGCAAAGCCAGGAGGGAGAGCTGGGGACACCTGCAACAACTGGGAAGCTTCTCTTGGGAGCAAGCTCCTCTCTGCTCCCCCTCCAGGGTGTTTAAGTCAAAGTGGTCAGCAGAGCCTTCCTTCTCGTGTTTCATGCACCTTCACAGAATCAGCAAGTTGACAGCTTTGACCACTTTGAATCACGTAGGGATGTTTTGAGGTTGCTGCAGTTTGCTCCGGATGTTGTTTTGGTTGAGATTCCCGGTAGTGACCCGCGGCCCAGTTTTCCTGAGGCTGCTGCTCTATGTGGACTTCAGCTGGGGATGAGAGCAAGGGCCTCTTCAACTCTAATGTGCACACGGTGACTGGGAGCTTGTTAAACGCCGATTCTGACTCTGCAGTTTGGGGTAGATCTCTCAGGTGATGCCCAGGCTGTGGACCAACTTTGGACAGTGACATGTTCAAACATTCTGGCCTGTAAGGCTTTGCATGTAGTGGAGAGACACACCTGTTGTAGTGAGACAAACGTTTTAAGACTTTGATTTGTTCATTTTTTCTCCATGAAATTTGAACTATCAGAATTTCTGGATCCTAAAAGGTTTAAGTTAAAAAAGAAAAGCTATATTCTACATGAGTATGCATAACTATTAACCATTTAAAGCTATGCTAAATGGGGATATTCAGCATGGTTGGTCCCAAATTCATTTTCAGTTGGCTTTGGAATGCATTATGTAATTTTTTGGCAGGATATTTACCTTCCTAATTCTGTTTTGTTTAAGACAATGCTGAAATCAGTTTGCGTTCCCTTGAGCACACACACTGATTGATGGTGGGAGCACTGACCTGGAAGTACATTCCAGAGCAGAGGGCAACCTGCTGGTCTAGGACACAGACAGTTCCCACGGACAGTCCATGAGATAGATGCACCGCATCTGGCCAGACACAGGAACTGACTGGTTAACTACCACTTAAAATTTTGCCCTCAATTGATGACGCACAAAATCTGTGCCTGGAATGGTTGCCAATGGTGGCAATCCTG